AGAGTTTACGAGAATTGAGATTCATTATAGATCGTGAAAGCGATGTGGGGTTCAAACGAGTCACACAGAATAGTGCCACTTATGCTTATAGCCAGCTATTATATGAAATCGGAGAGAATCCGACAACTGAATATATTTTCCTGTTCGAAATTCAAGCTGATTCAGAGTTGCAAGTACTTGTTTTTTTAAAATTTCATTCCATAAAGTAATACAGATGCGAGGAACTTTATATCGATCTAACGAATCTTGTCCATTATCTATTCTATTATAGATTATGTTTTGGATTTTTATTAAATAACTCAAAGTCTTCATATTGTGGATGAGAATTAGATAATAGCTTAACTATTTGTAGAAAAATATGAATATGAAATTGTTAATATGAATGCTAACATGTCATCTTTCTTTTTTTCTTTAGAACTAACCTTTGGTAAAACAAGAATATTGATTCAAATAGTTACATATTTGTTCACAAGTCATGAACGAGTCACTAGTCGATGAGACAAGCTCTATTGTCAGAATATCAAATTTTTCTTCAAACGAAAATTTTAATCTCTCGAACGATGAAAATCTTGAAGAATTGTCTATTGTATGGCTTGACTCTAATATAAACAAAAGTCAAGATTGTTTAGAAATGATCAATAAATTATGCTCCATCGTTGATTATTTGCAAGTATTTGATTGTGTTAATGAATGCATTACTTATATTAATTCGATTACAACAGAAACAAAAATATTATTTATTGTTTCAGGTCAATTAGGTGAAAGTGTAATTGCTCAAATTTATGATTCATCAAAAATTATTTCTATCTATGTATTTTGTTATGATAAAATAAAACATGAAACTTGGTCAAATCAATATAAACCAAAACTTCAAGGAGTTTTTAATGATAAAGATGAACTTTATTCAAAATTAATATCCAATGTAAAATTAGAAATTAAAAATTTTTTACCTATAAGTATATTAAATGAAAATGCTCAACAACGATGTCTTAGAGATTTAAGCAAGGAAAGTGTGTCATTCATGTGGTTTCAATTATTAATAAAGATTCTTATCAATATGGAACATGCTGATAGTGCTAAAAATGAAATGATTAATTTGTGTCGAAAACAATATAAAAATAATGAAAGAGTAATACACCAAATAGAAGAATTTTCAATAAACTACGATAAAGATCATGCAAGTGAATGGTATTCAAAAGATATCTTTTTTTTCGTTTATTGAATAGAGCACTTCGTACAGAAAATTTTGATGTTATCTATAAATTTCGACCTTTTATTGCTGATCTTCATCATCATCTAGAACGATTGTACCTTGAACATATTGAAACAATATCTAATGATAAAAAAATTTCAACCGTATATCGTGGAGCACAAATGTCAATACAGGAGTTAAAAGCTTTAGAAGAAAATCTAAATGGATTGATTTCAATCAATGCATTTTTTTCCACAAGTAAATCATCATCAGTTGCTTCTCGATTTGGTATTGATGGTACTCAAGATAATCCAACAGTTATTTTTACAATATCTATTGACGATCATATTTGTGATCAACCGTATGCTCATATTGAAAATTCGAGTAATTTTAGTCATGAAGAAGAAATATTATTTTCAATAGGTACAATATTTAGAATTGAAAATGTTGAACAAATGAATGATACTGTTTGGTCTGTTGAATTAAAATTATACAATAGAGATAACTTAGAACTAAAACAACTTATGATTAGTTTTGAAGAACAAATTGGTAAAACACCAACACTTTTTGATCTTGATAAAATATTTTGCTACATGGGAGATCACGATAGAGCAGAAAAATATAGTCGAATTTTACTTGAACAATTGTCACCAAATGATGATTCTATGTTAATAGTTTATACCAATATTGGTGATACTTATTTAAATAGAGGAAATTTTCAGATAGCGTCTGAATATTATGAGCAAGCACTATCAATAGCGTCGAATCTCGAATCAGATTTTGATATAGCTCTTGCTTATGTATATGATTCAATTGGTTTGTTCAACGATCGAATTGGAAAATATGAAGAAGCAATAGAAAATTTAAAACAAGCACGTGATATTAAATTAAAATCTATGTCAGAAAATTCTCTTTTTATGTCGTCAACATATAACAATATTGCAATGGTCTACAGACATAAATTAGACTACGAACTTTCACTAGAATACTACAATAAAGTACTTAATATTGAACTTGAATCTTTACCAGAACTACATCCAAATATTGCTTCAACTTACAATAATATTGCATTATTGCTAAATCAATTAAAACGTTATGATGAAGCATTAAATAATTATATGAAAGCATTGAAAATTGAACAAAAATCATTACCATCAAATCATTACCAAATTGGAACAACATATAATAATATAGCATTACTTCATACGAATACTAATGATCAAATCAAAGCTTTAGATTTTTATGAAAAAGCATTGACTATATTTTCTAATACTTTAGAATATAATCATCCAACTATTGGATCGATTTATTATAACATGGGAGATGTTCATTATAAACTTGAAAATAATGATATAGCTATGGATTATTTCCAAAAAGCACTTGATATACGATTAAAATCACTTCCAAATGATCACATCGATCTTGCAGCTACATTAAATAGTATTGGTGTGATTTATTTAATTCAAGAAAATTTTACTGATGCACTTAAACATTGCGAACAAGCACTTGAAATACAATTGAAGTTATCTTCCGACATTCATCCAGATTTATCGGCTACACATTTTAATCTTGGTAGAATTAATTTAAAACTAAATCAATACAATAAAGCATTAGAACATTTTCAAGCGTCTCAGACAATCATGACCAATATTTCTAAAGAAGATCATCATGATCTTGAATTATTATATTTCTATATTGGTAATACTTATCTCTTACTTGGAAATTATCAAAAATCAATTGATAATTGTGAAAAATCTCTTCGAAATCAACTGAAAAAACCTAATTCAGACAAAAATCATTTAGCAACAATATACAGATNTTAAAAATAGAGTCCTGCTTTCTAATGACTTTTTGATTTTGCATAATGGTCAATGTCCGTAGTAGTTGCTCTTGATTTTTAATGATTTTTTTGCGATTTCCCTTCATTTCTAAGCATTTCCGATGATTCCTATTGATTCACGATGAACATAAAAAAACTGATTTCCAGTGATAGAAATCCCTAGAAATCATCAGAACTCAAAGAAATCAAGAGATCAGTTTATTCTCCCTTGCAAGCAACCAAGCAAAACGATTTTATTTCATATGACCCTCGTTTCAGTCGAGGGAACAACCGTTTCTATTTTCAAAATGAATAAGAGATTATTAAAGGTCGCATTGTTTAGTTTCACACTATTTTACTGCGACATTCTTTCTCTGATTTCGCCTATTTCTCATCTGAACGTTTAAGTATGATGATAGTAATTGAATAAAAAGAAATCTATAAATAACTCAGAGAAAAACTAACGTCGTTGGGAAGTAGTAAAAATCACCAGAAACCACCGGTAATCACTAGTAATCATTGGTAATCAAGTAATCAGTTTGTTCCCCCTTGGTATTTATCCTTTTTCTTATGCTTATCTGTATATGACAAACTTGAAATCAGTGAATTTCTTTCTTAAGATTGTATCTTTTTCGTATTTTCACGAAAGAGTGTTATGCATACTGCGATATACTTATCTGCTGTGTATCATGATGCGACTGTCAATTCCAAAAAAATTTTAAATATCTTTTGTCATCGACACAAAAGGAAGAATGAAAAACAGTATCCTACTAGTTCCATTTGTTCACTCTATCTCAAGTACTGATAGATCAATATGTTTATAACGAAACCTTATAGGAAGAACTAATTTCCGGATACTTTTTTGAAATAAAATATATTTTTGAGACTTGATCAGTTGTATAGTAAGTTTTATGTTTTAAAATAGATACACTTTTATTCCTTTAGGTTTATCTCAATTACGAATTCAAATGTAAGTTTGATCTAATAAAATAAATAAATTTGTTTATATGTTTAGTTATGTCTCAATAATTAATTCAATAATAAGTTGTAAGTTATAAAATGAAATAATGTTTTATCCATTGAGATGTATCCCAATAAGCAATTCAATGGTAACTTTTAACATATAAAATGAATTAAATATTTACTTTATTTAGGTATATACCAATCATCAATTCCAAGGTAATTTTTAACTTATAAAATGAGTTTATTTTTTCTTTATTTAGGTATATGTGAATAATCAATTCAATGGTAACTTCAATCCTACAATATAAATCAATTTTTTTTGTTTTGGATCGTCTCAACATCATGCGATGGCGATGCCCTTTTCGTGCAAATAGAGGAGAGAGTGCTTCCTCTTATTCTACTCCCAACAAATCTGGGTAAATATAATACATATAGAATTTAGTGGTTAAGAATAGAAATCAGGGATTAGATATAGGAATAGAGAGCTAGATGTAGGAATCGATGTTACATATAGAATTCAGGGTTAGACATAGAATTAGTCAGCAGTACTAGACTAATTAAGTTGAGTGGACTACGTTTTACCAGGGTGGAACCAATTTCTGGAAGAAGAAGAAAAAAGTGTGAGATAGAACTATATTTTACTAAAACCTTAAAAGGTTCATAAAATGGTACTCAAATCTAGAACCCTAAAAGGTTCAGCGAGATACCTTTGTTTTCGAGAGCATGCTATCTGAAATACCATTATATCTCACACAGCAGACTTAGTAAAACCAGCGTTTCGCTTAAAAACAAGCCATAAAAGATCCTGTATATTTGGTCATCTTTCATTGAAAATCCTATAATTTGGAAAACTAAATCCTATATGAATTCCCATATTCTCAAAAAATCACAATCCTAGGCCAGGTTTCGGTCTTTGGTGACGATGAGCACTCGAACAGATAAATGGCTTTCGGCGGAGAATGAAATCACACGATCCATATTCCGAAGCATGAGCATGTGTTGAAACAATAATCAGTTAACCGTAGTATTTGTGTATAGTTATTCAAGCAAAGCAGATGTCATAAATATGAGCTAGGATTGACTTCACTTTGGCTGAGAAAATGGCAGAAAAAATGGTTTAGAATTATTAACGTTGTTTCGGGAAGAAAGCAGGGAGTGAAATGTATTCGCCTGTTAATTATCAGATGGTATCGCTTCTGATTTTATTGAATAAGTTTCGGAAAGTCGTTGAGGCGAGACGGAAAAAATCGGCAGAACAAGAGAAAAGACAAGTTCTTGGCTGTCTCGCATGTTCCTCTTTCAAAAGGCTGATTCTGTCGTGAATTTTAATGAATCGCAAAAGTATTCGTCCAATCATTTATTTGTTCAAAAGCACGATTAGCAATGAGTTTTAAAGTATACAATGTGTGGCAGATTGTGACACACACTTCAATTTGATTATTTGTTCCGTCTTCATGGACAATGTTCAAAGTAGTGAAGCCTCTCGTTTATTGATATAATTGATCTATCATTTTTCACATTTTAATCCTATAAGAATTTCGTCTACAGTTTTTAGTTATGTTTATGAAAACAAGGACTATAGTTTGAGTGATTGAACAGTCCAACAAGATATGTGTACTGCAAATGGCATGGATGTATATTAAGAAGACTGTCCGACGAGAATAGCCAGATATAACGAGAGACCCAATGCGACCAGAAAGTGAAGTAGAATAAGAACTCCTTTGACACGATCTTTGATCAAAGATTGATTGGTGAAAGAATGATTAACTTCGTTTACTTCATAGGTATTATTATGAATATTGAGCCAATTGGTCTCGTCTCCTTTTTTTGATTTGACCTTGTCATGTAGGCAACGCTCAACACATTCGAAAAGGATAAATATCACTACAACCCAACAAGTCCATGCAACTAAGATGCCCCATGGATTGCCCAATTGAAATTCAATTTGTCTAGAGAACATGATTAGAAAAATAGTAACAATTGATAGAATAAAGCCCATCAACCCAACACCACCATGGAGATAGTTAAATATAAAACGGTTTTTCTTGTTCGGATGGCATCGAAATAGAGCCATGAATGGTTGGAAAATGGCAGCGGCGATGACGATAATGCCGAGAATTGAATGGACAAACTCACGAATACGAGCGCGTGATACCCATTTCCCACTTTCATAAGAAAAAATAAGCACAAAGCCAATTAATGTTAACACAGAGCCCAGAAGCATAATCATTCGATGTATTGCAAACCAGATGGCTTCACCGCATACTTTTCGATCGGACCAGGACTGTTTGCAATATCGTGCGAAGAGAATACCGGTTGAGATTAATAGAATCCAAGCAAATATCATGATGATACCATGCGCTTTCATCAACCGGATTCCATCGCTCCCTGTTGCCTGGAAATTATATACGATGTGATCTGCTCGGTTTAACATTACTGTGGTCGATAGAGCAAATCGACAATCACGTGCATGCCTTACTAGACCATCTATTTAGATGATGAGAATTCAACAACTTTGAGAGAGAATGGTCTCAAATATTACTCACTTGAGCTATCCAATCGTCCGAAAGCGATCAGTGGATAATATGCAGTTGTTTGAGACAGTTGCTGGACATCAAGTTGACGTCGTCGACGGCCTGCACTATTGGTAAAGTTCGATAAAGTGAAATCGAAGTATGCGATACCATTTTCGACTCGCTGCCGAGTCAATGTGAAGGTTCCACCTAGATTGTCACTCTCGGAAACGATTTGCGGAGGCGCGTAACCACTAGGATTGACATACCGTTGTAAAATAAATGAGTCATCGGCTAAATGACGGCACATGAAGACATGATCGTCACTCTACACAAAAAAATACGATACACACAAAATTGTTTGAAGTTTATTAGGATGGTCATTTCCTCTACCATGTATTCATCAAGCGAAAGACCGACCGCTAGCCACTGAGATATTTTGACATTGACGACTGACATCTGCGCACTTGTTATGCCATCAGAGTAAGTCCAATTGACGATCACTCCAACGTTGCTGTTTGGTGCAGTGGTAGTTGCTACGTTGTCTATGCTCGTTGATGTATCCGTAGTTGCTATAACGTTATGTACAACACTGTCTGTTTCATTTAACATAACTGCAGTCGGTAATGCAAATCGGGAATCACTTCCATGCTTTATTAGAGCATCTATTCAAATGACGAAAATTCAACAACTTTGAGAGAGAATGGTCTCAAATATTACTCACTTGAGCTATCCAATTGTCCGAAAGCGATCAGTGGATAATATGCAGTTGTTTGAGACAGTTGCTGGACATCAAGTTGACGTCGTTGACGACCTGCACTATTGGCAAAGTTCGATAAAGTGAAATCGAAGTATGCGATACCATTTTCGACTCGCTGTCGAATCAATGTGAAGGTTCCACCTAGATTGTCGCTCTCGGAAACGATTTGCGGAGGTGCGTAACCACTAGGATTGACATACCGTTGTAAAATAAATGAGTCATCGGCTAAATGACGGCACATGAAGACATGATCGTCACTCTACACAAAAAAATACGATACACACAAAATTATCTGAACTTTATTAGGATGATCATTTCCTCTACCATGTATTCATCAAGCGAAAGGCCGACCGCTAGCCACTGAGATATTTTGACATTGACGACTGACATCTGTGCACTTGTTATGCCATCAGAGTAAGTCCAATTGGCGATCACTCCAACATTGCTGTTTGGTGCAGTGGTAGTTGCTACGTTGTCTATGCTCGTTGATGCATCGATAGTTGCCATGCTGCCGATGCTCGTTGGTACATCGGTAGCTGACGCACTGGTTGTTGTGGTCGACCCACTGTTAGTTGTTACAGGGATCGTTGTGGTCGACCCGCGATTCGTTGTTACAGTGGTCGTTGTGGTCGACCAGCTACTAGTTGTTACAGTGGTTGTTGTGGTCAACCTGCTGCTAGTTGTTACAGTGGTTGTTGTGGTCAACCTGCTGTCAGTTGCTAGAGTGGTTGTTGTGGTCGACCTGCTGTCAGCTGTCACAGTGGCTGTTGTGGTCGACCTGCTGCTAATTGGTACAGTGGTTGTGCTACTCGACACTCGGGTGCTTGCCTAAAATGTTCGAACGCTGAAATGTAGATGTGTAAGCAAGACATCACCTAAGGAAAGTCTTTCTGAAGAGGTCCAATTCCGATAATATCAAGGGGAGAAACAGCGTACTTTGTACTTGAAGTTAATTTAGGTTACTTGATAACAGTTAAAACTACTTTACAAGATGTTGTTATAGTTTAACATACTTTTGACGTAAATTTCCCTTACTTTGTTGTACTGGAAATCCACTGTTTCCCCCTTCTGTAATATTCATCTTCTGTTGGCATGCATTGAATTCGAATTCGCTGAGGGTCAAATAGGGTTGAATCCGCTTCCGAATGCATCGAATCTATGAGAAGTGGGTGTCTCAGTTGGAAGTTGTAGCAATTCAGGATGGATCCGACAGCAGAAAATCTGAGTTATTTTGCAAAATTTCATCGACATCAAGAACATCTGGCTGTATCCTACTAAAGCTTTTCGATTTGTAGACTCACAGCAACTCGACTACAGACATTTTTGTGAGGGTAGAAAGAAAAGCCTTTCTTGGGTGAGATGACTGAAGTCTATATGGAAAACTTGACATTTATAAGCACTCATCCTCTTGCTCTTTTACATATCTCTGATAGGAAAAGTGTTTTCGAATCATGAAGCATACTCTCTCGCTCAACGTGGAGTGAAGAGAATCTGAAACGAACCGGATACAGGTCCCACCAAATCTGAATATTTGAGCTTGATGCATGCGTAGCCCATAGCGTCTCTAGCATATATTCATCTTTACTTTGATTACCTGACTTGGTGTCAATGTCACAGAGAAGCAATTCGTATAAAACTCATTAAAAGTTTTCACGATGGTAGCTCTAAATGAATCGAACATTTATCGTTTCTCAATAAGAGTAATGAATGATTTACTTGATGATCGTAGGTCCTTGAGGCAGCGTCGCTGGTGCATACCAAACAGCTTGAACTTGTACTTTGTTATCAGCAGATGTGTGAGTAACGCCGGTGGCCGATACTCCATTGCAGTTAATGGTCTGAAGAGGCGATTGGCTAGACCAATGTCCAAGAATTTGTTGACTCGATTGATCTTTGGCAATTAAAAGAATACCCTTAAAATAATTTGTGCTTGCCGAAACTCGTACAGTGACTGCTCAAAAAATAAAATCAACACATTTTTATCTGTCTTTTCGATATTGCAAAAATACGCACTGAGAACCGCATCGTTCGCTTTGTATTGAGTGATGTTGGCTTGAATCACATAATTTGGCTGGCATGATTTGGATACTGCACTGCCGTGACTAGGTGTCATCGACGAGCAAGCAGTAGTTGGTGCACCAGTCTGATAACCGCGTCCGATTGTGACACAAAGCAACACAATAAGAATCTCGTAATGGCGATGCGAAATCATCTAGAAGTATACGAACAAGAGTTCCCAAAGAAATCTCTGAAAATTTCTCTTCATTCGCGAGTATTTACTTCCCAAGTAGGTCTTTTTAATACTTAAATGGTTTCACTTACTTCACCATTCACCTGGCGATGTCCACATGTACATTGGGACTCTCTTTGTTTTGATTATGATTTCACATTAAGATATCAACTAGGAAATCTTACGTCAATGTAGAAATTCTTGAAAAGCATTTCCTCGATGTAAGATTTCGAATTCTGTACACTAGTTTGGTAGGATGAATAGTAGCTTTGTTTTCTGTCAATAGTTTCTATGAGCAAACTAATATTCTAGTGTATTGAAGCAATTGAATCATGCATTTGGATCTTTCGCATTCAGTTGTCACAGACAGAATGAGCAGTATGAAAAAAGTAAAAAGTCTCTTTTTCTTTCTTTCCAAAATCATAGAGAACAGCCCTCTCGTTGTCAGCTCGAAAATAAGTACTATTCATGTCAGGAAGAAAAGAAAAGAAAAAAAAAGCTTGATGTTGTTTTTTTCATAGCATTCAAAAAACTTGATTTTTGAAATCAGTTTTGCAGAGTGGGCAAGTTACGTCTGACTTCTACAGCTGTGATTTTGTTGAACTTCATTCTTTTCGACTTGAATACTCAGCGAAAGTTTTAAACCGAAGCCTTGTTGCTTGGAACGTCTTTCTCCCTATTGAAGACTTTGGCTGTCTTGGATAACGACGTGAGACTCCTTTACCAGAGTTACTTACCAACGAGAAAAGGAGCTGAAGCGAATGAACGACAAGACTTACACTGTTCTAGAATACTTCAAAACATTCGTCGAAATTCAAATGGATGAAATGCTTTTGTGAATGTTCGAAATAGTATAGTGTTTGACTTTTAAGTAGATAAACGCTCATATACAAAAGTTCAAGGATGATTGCTAGCTATGCACTGAATCGACACTGTCGTCAAATAATTCGTATAATTGATCAAGTTATAACTTTGGGAAATAATGAATTTCAGTGCTTATGAACTAATCAAGATACATAAGAGTGTACTAAGGCTAGCCGGTATATTCATAATGGACATGCGTGACAGGCTTAATTGTCAGTGAATTCAATGCTTAGAATAACAACAACGTTAAATTTAGTTAAAATGAAAAAGGAAAAGAAAAAATCATGACTGAAAAACAACAAGTCGAAGAAAAAAAAAGGGTGCCAGTGAAAGAAATATAAAAATTTCTCCTCAAAGTGTAGAAATAAAAAAGAGAATTTACGAGAGATTTTTCAATTAACATATTTTGTATTAAAGCAATGAGGTAAAGACGACATAAAAGTTTCACATTGCAGCCACCAAAGAATAGCGCTAACAAGATGTTGTTCATATACATGGGGATATGTTTATATAAGGTTCCCTAAAGTCAAACTTTCCGCACCATTTCATTTTTGGCTTATTTACATACCGTTGGATAGAGTCTTACGAACTGATCAAGAAAATCTACTTTTAACGTAACTACTGCTCATTCCAAAAAAAGAAGGCAGATGGGTATTTTTCGAATAACTTTTGATAGATACAAGATAGAAATCTGCGGTTTTCACCGTTGGAAAGAGACATATCTGGCGCATCTATTCATATAAATTTGTTGAGATTCATTTCATTAATAACTAGTGATCCGTGGTCCTCTTGAAAGAGCAGCCTATTGCTCTATGAAGATAGGATCAATTTTTAACTTTGAGGAGTGGACTAGAACTGCCAACTCAAGCTCTACAAATCTACGAAAGGCCAAAAATTTTATCTCGATTCGTTCAAAGGTTATGAGCAAAATACTAACGGTATTTGATCGAGTTTTTGTCAATTTTACCTTGTGCAAAATATATTTCAAATTTTCATTACTCATATTTTCGATAATGACGAATCAATTGATAATGTTTGTTTTAATATAGAACAACTCTTTTTCTATTAAAATACTATTACTAACAATTGTACGATATTACTTTCATATGTTATTACACTGTTACCTTGAAATACATACATCATATTTCACAAATACTTTTGATCAAAAACGACACGTTTAGGACCGTATGTAGATTAGATCATATATTTTTACGTTCTATTTCAGGTATTTCTCTTGTTGATTGTAACATAACGTATTTTCAGCTGTGAATAGTTATTTATACTGTCGACTTTCACTATAAAGATGCCTAAAGACCATGAATTTTCTCAAGACATGAAACACATATTTTTCAATGTCATCAAATTTGTCGAAAAAGAGAAGTTTGGACCAGTAATCCCACTTCAATGTTAATGAACGACTATCATCTATGTTTGATATTTCTATGAGATCTGTCGAAACATTAAAGAGTGAGATGAAAGAAATCGAACATGACATGCTAGAAAGGAAGAGAAAAATGGAGAAAGAAAAACAAGTATTAAAGAATCAAAAACTTCAGTTGCTTGGTCGACTTCGAAATTTACGATCGAGATTATCATCATCATCTTCGTCTGCAATTAACACCAATACCATGGCAATTAGTGTTTCTGTTCGTCGTTTGCCGTACAAACTATCAAACTCTGGCCGTTCATCAACTCCTCTAACCGAAGGATAAAGATGGTTGCTGTTGGAATACTAAATGTTGATCAAGAATTTCGATTAAACGTTTAGTTACGGCATCCAACAGTTGTGAAAGATAATTCAATGGTTCAACAAGTGTCGCTGGTACCAATCCTTTATTTGCAAAGTTGCCAAAATAACTCCCTGTCAATAGTTTAATTCCTTCTTTATGATTCACTTTAGAATAACCATATATTGCCATATATTGTGAATATTGATTCTTTGCACTGTCAGACGCAAAAAATATCGATAGTTGCCTGATTAGCCTTGAACTTGGGATGAGTTCTGTTGATAAAAAGACGAAACACCATCCATTCGATTCGAATTCAGCTTCCATTCATTTTATTTCAATAGAATCGTTCGAATTGAGTATTTTATTTAAATCGATAATGACTTGTGATTTGTTGTTCAATGAAGACATTTTTGATTAATGCTTATGTGTCAAGTTCAAAGCACTGTTTTTTTCTGATTATGTCGTCGTTATTTCGCAACCGCTTCGCTTTGTAAGCAAAAAGAAAGTTTCTTGCACAACATTTCTGTCTGTTATGTAACATCATTGTTTGTGAAACTAAGCATACTCATCGATGATTCACTCGGAATGATGACAATAAAAGGCAACACGTTAGCTGTATCATCATTCAATAATTTTATGTTAACTCATGTTTTTAATATGAAAGTATATGACCGAATGATCTATGAAATGACCAAGTTAAATATATGTGAAAACAGCAGAAAATGATGTGTGCTTGTGAGTCTTTCAATGAATACTTGGACATATTGTCAGTCCTTTAATTCTTCTGTACATTTTTCAAGACAACTTTCTCTTCTAATGTTTTTGTTTTCATCGACATTTGGATTGGCTGAAATAGAAACAATGAACTGTCTTGTATTTCTTAGAGATAGATAAAGTTTGTTGGTTACATTACATGAGTCATCTCTATAGATCAAAGAAAAATTGATTGATACAATTATTTTCTTTTCATTCTTTTCATGGACAAGTGATGTTTTTGCACATGGTACAGTTGAATAGCTTCTTTCATACATGCATTAACGAACGGCTCACTTAAATGTCTGCAGACAGTTGTTTTTTCCAACTTCGAAACAATAGCACATAGTCAATACGCAGGTGTGGGTGTTGGCATTCTCTTTATCCACACCAACGCCCAAAACGCAAATCCACACTCCACACCCTAAATCCAACAAATGATAGTGTTTCAAATAATACACCATGATGTTTGAAAAAGAAGAAACAGATTAGTATTGATAGCCAACTAGTGAATGATGGTTCACGTAATCTATTAACCAAGAATAATAATAAAAGTAATAATGAACAGTTAAATAGATTAAAGCCAAATACACATCCATCAAATAACTATTGAATAAATAATGATAATAGGACACATAATGAGTTAATTCCGAAAGATGATAAACTTAAAATTATTCAATCTAATAGATTTGATGCAATTCTTGTTATCAATACAAATAATAATAAAAATTCAGGTAACAAAAACATCAAATGTACATCAAATGATAATCAACTAATTCTTGATGACTCACACAATACATTACCAGATATTGATAATAAATCTAACGATACACAATCCAATAAATTAAATCCAACATTGAATTACACTGCAAATAATACAAGATCCTGCATGAAAAGGAACAAACATATTATGATGAACATTCAAACTTTTACTAATGACTCACACAATCTGCCAACAGAGAATGATAATAATATTGATATTGGACAATTAAATCAAAGGGTCATGACATCAAATAACCTTCAAAGAATTGATAATATTTCATCTAATGAATTAATTCATAAGAACAATAAACTAGAAATTACACAATTAAATGGATTAGATACAATTATTGATAAATATGTAAATAATACATTTTTAAGCAAAGAAATGAATAAACACACATTTATTAATAATGATGTAATTAATGAAGATTCACATAATGTAAGTAGTACATAATAATGATAATAAACTTAATAATTTACCACAAGATAAATTATTTTCAATAAATGATAACAGAGCAAATAGTACAAATCAATGTAATAAGAACAATAACAGAATAATGAACCCTAATGAAATATTAAACACCGATTTAACAACTTTTAATATCCGTAATCTTAGACGGTCGGATAGGTTCAAGAATAAAATCCAACATATTCACAAGTAAGACTCGTCTTCACTACTCGCTCAACCCTCGACTGAATTTGATTTTGCCATTTCCTATCAGGGCTTACCGGACTCAACTCGGAGATCAATTACTGAATCCAGATGAGGATGTGGGTGTGGTTGTATTCTGTTCTATACACCCACACCCACCCACACACTCACACCCACACCCACACCCACACCCCACACCCACACCCACACCCTTCGAGAAAATTTTACTGATGCACTTAAACATTGCGAGCAAGCACTTAAAATACAATTGAAGTCATCTCCAGACAATCATCCAGATTTAGCTGCTACACATTTTAATCTTGGTAGAATTAATTTAAAACTAAATCAATACGATAATGCATTAGAACATTTTCAAGCGTCTGAGACAATTATGACTAAAATCTTTAAAGAAGATCATCATGATCTTGAATTATTATATTTTTATATTGGTGATGCTTATCTCTTACTTGAAAGTTATCAAAAATCAATTGAGAATTGTGAAAAATCTCTTCAAAACCAACTGAAAAATCCTAATGTAGACAAAGATCATTTAGCAACAACATACAGATATATGGGACTAGCTTTCAATAGACTAGGTAAATATGTTGAATCAACAAAGAAATTTAAAAAAGCATTGGAAGTTCAATCAGAATTACAAAATCAACTTGAAATGATAGAAATTATTGGACATATTGGAGAAAACTATCATAAACAAGCTAATCACACCGAAGCATTGAAAAATAATAAAAAAGCAATTGAAATTCAATCCAATTTGTCTCCAATCAATAATATCAACTTAACAACATTGTATAGCAATATGGCATATGCAAATTTAGCTAATAGAAATTATCAAGAAGCAATCACATGTTTCAAAACTGTACTTGAATTACAATCAAAATATTTATCACTTAATGATTCAAATATTATACGAACATATAACAATATTGGTTCTATTTATCGTCAACTTAATGATTATGATACTGCGTTAGAGTTTTTTACACAAGTAACTGAAGCAGAAAAAGTTTTACAAATGAATTCTTTCGAATATACAAAAATATTAAATAATATTGGATTCATATATTGTCAACAAGAAAAATTAACAAATGCATTATATCATTTTCAAAAAGCATTAGAGATTCAACTAACAATCAATGATATACAACCGGAAGCTATAGCTGTAATATATAATAATATTGCAAGTATCTATCTAAGACAAAATGAATTTGATTTGGCATTTGTCAATGCTAAAAAAGTTCTTGAACATTGTCCGAGAGTTCATAAATTACTTGCTGCAACATATGATATTTTAGCTCAAGTGTGTTCGAAACAGAATCAATTTAATGAAGCTATTAATGCGTATTCGAATAAAATTGAAATAATGGAAAAAACACAATTTATAAATCCTCAAGAATTGGCAAAGACTTATAATAACTTAGGAATGGTTTATAATACCATATGTAATTATGATATGGCTATGAGAAATTTTGAAATGGCACTTACAATAGAAAAAGAATTATTTCCATTGAATCATCCTACTTTTGCTATAACATATAATAATATTGCAAGTGTTTATTCTGCTAAGGAAGATTTTCGTAAAGCATTAAAATATTATAATAAGGAACTTGAAATTCGTTTATTATCATCAGATTTGAATTCTGTAGATCTAATGATAAACTATAGAAATCTTAGTGTAGTTTATTACAAATTAAATAAATATGCTGATGCATTCAAAATGAGTGAAATGGCACGAAAAATTGTTGTTGAATATACACCATCGAATGACAATCAGTTAATATTATTATACAATGATTTAGAAGAAATGTATTATATCAATCATAAATATGATATTGCATTCGATAATTACAAACAAGCATTGAGAATAGGATGGCAAATATTACCAGCTGATAACGACGAACTAATATCTGCCTATAAAAATATTGATCAAATTTATTTTATGAGCAGAATTACAAATTCAACTGATCATTTATTAGAAACGAATTGTTTTACACCATTAACATATAGTACTATTGCGGATATATTTAATGAAATGAATCAATATGACAAAGCATTAGTCTATTATCAAAATGCATATCATGCCGAAATGAAAATGACGTCACCGAATCTTGAACACATCGAAGCATATAAAAATAATATGAATACAATGGAAAATAAAACATCTTATTTTAGTAGAAAAAAATTTATTCAATTAATGTATACAATTTATGAATACTTATTCAATGCTGGCTAGAAACAGATTGTACCCAAGTTGCCATTCGATGGGTATTTCGAGATGTCGATATGAGCTTTCCGATGGGTTGACGAAATTGTAATTTTGTTACCCATCGACGGCCCCTCG